AAATGTTTGAGAGGGAGGCCCCAGCAGTTGATCACGTGGTTCATAAGAACGAGAGCAATGGTCTCAGCCGTGTTGTTGGGCACTGGTAGGCATTTTGTCTATTCAGTCAAGGCGCCTGTAACCATAAGGAGGTATTTGTTACCTTGGGGAGACTTTGGCATCAGGCTAATCTAGTCCATTTGAAGGTTGGACCAGGAAAAGATAATACCTTGACTCTGTAATTATGCTCTGTTCAGTTGTTTGAATGGCCAAAACTGAAAAGAGATTTGACATCCCTACACATTCACAGTCTTGTCTTTCAAAGCTAAAATACTATTGGCTGAAGGGTCTTGTAAGTGGCCCTAGCACTTCTATGGTCAGAAGTGGACTTTCACGAGCATACTGAAGGATGACCCCACCTATGGTCTGTAGCGAAACCCAATGGGATGGTCCCTTGATCCTTTGTACATGCACCAGAAGCTCTTTTTCAAATTTCAGGCAATGTTGGAGTTTGTGAAGCTAATTCAGTTCTTAGGGCTGTTGTAGAGTCTCTACCAATCGGGAGTGATTGTGGATTCGCAATCAACTTACAAATCTGGTGGCTCACTAGATATCTGTCCTGCATGGTTACCAAGTCTGAGTCTCCTGCCCGCTCCTCTACACAGAGAGTAATAAACACGGTCACATAATTCAGTAACAAAGTCAGGCCGATCCCAGATAACTTTTTCCAAGATTTTTGGACTGAAAGAGAAAAAGAGTATATGAATTATGATTTATAAAAAAACAAAAAACTTCACTTTTAATAACTTTCAAAATGCATTCATATTTGAAAATCACACTCACAAACACTCATCTAATTCCATGTTTTTTATTTATGTATATAATAATAATAATCAGGCCTTGAGCATTTTCTCTGAAATAAGTGAATTAATTGAGGATAGCTTCAATAAAACACATGTAAATGTGATGGTTTTAATGTTCAAACAAGGAGACAACAGACAACTGGAGACAAACCCTTTTCTTAAGTGTTTTACTGAACCAACAGTTTTAATTCTTAGTAGTGTTTGTCTTCACTCACCATATCCTGGAAGAAAACTTTACTTCAACAATAAAACGCAACATAAAAATCTGCATGTGTTTTTTTATAGTCATTGTCATATCATTTGTTAATTAAAATTCTGTCTTTGTTTTAACAACAGACATTAGTTAGTGTTAACACCAGATTATGGACTCCACAGAGATGTGACTGCTGGAGTTATAGCTCAGTCATAAGACAGTAACAGTACTAACCACATTTGAACCTGCAGTCTTTTTATATTCCTGACTATTATTTCTTCTAATTTCTGAAATCTGTTCTTATTTTGTAACCCTATGTTTGAAAAATAGCTGTACAAAATCAAATTGAAAAACAGACAGAAACGGCCTTAGTAGCTAATCACCTAGTGGCCCTCTACTGTACTTCATGTTCAAACACAGGAGAACAGAGAGTAAAGTCAAGAAGAATAAACTAATGTAAACGTGTTTAAGTGTCAGGCTTTACTGGAGGTTCACGTGGAAACAGGAAAGAATTAAATAGAGTGGCCAATGTGATCACCTTAAAAAAGAACAAATGTTTTTATTATTGATCCCAGGTTACTGTATTTTAGTTTCACTTGTGTCTGTGTGTCATGATGGTAACCAGTCTATGAGTCTGTTCAGAAACTGAACAATATTCCATCAGAGCTCATGGAGGTCTCTGTGGTTTCTGGTGTGGACGACTGAGCAGCTGATCATGGACCAGGATCTGTCAGAAAATGATTTGTTTAATATAGATACAGCTGAGGAATTCTAATGTTTTAGACATAAACACCAATCCCTGTTGTTAGAAGGAAGAATCTTAGACATGTATGAACAGTTGTGTTGTATGGACCCAGAGCAGGGTTTGTCTCCAGTTGTCTGTTGTCTCCTTGTTTGAACATTAAAATCATCACATTTACATGTGTTTTATTGAGCTTTTTTTATTGTGAACATATAAACCCTGTTACATTGTTGAGCTGCAACACTTTCAGCTGATACTACAGACAGTGAGGATCAGTGAGTCTGCAGCCATGGGTCCTGTTGTGGTGACTGTTGTTCTTCTGGTGGTTGGGATGTTCAGCAAAGAATCTGCTGCCTGTGAGATGGAAACACAAAAGGAGATGGACTGACTCTGACAGTAGGACAGAAATTCTAACAAGTCTGTGTTTTTTGTTTGTTTTCTTAAAGATCACACCTTCTCCTGGGATGCTGACCAGTGTGTTGCCAATCAAGATGGATCATGTGGTTCTGGATGGATCCGTCTGGATGGCAATCGCTGTGTGATGATTTCCCCAAATCCAAAAACGTTTGATGATGCTGAGGTAAAGAAAACACACACACAGTTTTGTTTTTTGTGATTGTAAAATGTTTCAGAAACAAATCTCAGGGTCACAACAATGATGTCCAGAAAATCACTGTAAACTCTTTATCTCTTTCTTTCTTCAGTCTTTTTGCCAGACTGAGGGTGGACACCTGATGGCAGTCAGAGATGTCACAACCATGGCCTCACTGACATGTATCTTGCATAGCAAATTTGGATCTCAATCCTTATCCTGGGTTGGAGCTAGAGAATTTAAGGTGAGCAGTGACAACATCAGATGATGTCTCTATAAAATCATCTAAGACTGTCTTCAAAAACAGACAGATCATTTTATGTCTTTATGTCCTAAAAGGTTGTCTTATTGTCAAGGATATTAACAACCAGTGTAAACCACCAGTACAGATTAATGTGTTTATTTTATTCAACTTAATTTTCTGGATGGGTCTCAATCATTTCAGTGGATTGATCAAAGTGGAAATGTGGAACCATCTGAGGACAGTGAGGTGAACTTCAACTGCATGATACTTTGGAGTAAGTTTCTGTTTATACATTAATAAATATAACCCTGACAAACATCTTCTGGTGATAAAATGACCCATTTCTGACCTAAAATCTCATTTAACCAGAGTTAGACAACAGACGTTATCTCTATGTTCTGTTCACTGAAAATTTCATGATGTCATATTGGTGTTGATATTTTTTTTTAATCGTCATAAATGTTTCTAAACATTTTCTAAAAATGAAGTTGTTGAAGTTGTTTTCTAAGTCATATTTAAAATCTCATCTTTCTCTTTCAGTCAGGAGCAAGTGGGATGGAAGAGATTCCTGGGCCTGGACTGAATTCGGGACTGAATCATGTGACAGCTTCATGTTTTTTCTATGTGAGAAGACAGTGTGATGGTCACCAGTTGATGAACCAACCCTGCTCTATTATTACTAGTTTTCCTGCTTTATTGTAACCTTTGCCTGAAGAAGGTCCTATAATTCCTCCAATAAAAGTTGAGCATCAAAATTTCCTTCATCACTTTGCAGATTGTTCTGTCCTCCATTCTTCTAAGTCATTCACCACATTGTCGTCTCAGACTCCTCACACAGAACTCACGTAAATCTATGTTGTTACTAATATTCTGGATTTATGCTCATAAAACCTTTGAGCATGATGGCAGAGAAGGTGTTAGGGTCAGAAGGTCAGAAGGTCAGAAGGAGCTGAGTAATGATTAATATATAATGAATCCAAATCAATTACCTCATAACACAAAGTTCAAAAATAAAAGTGCAGGTGTACCATTATCACTATTCTTTGTTTGTGGTGCCCCACCTGTCATGTCTCTGTTGCCCACCATTGGGCCCACCCCAACCTTTGAGAAACATTGCAAAGAAAGTCTATAGAGTGAAAGTGTTGTTTGTTGAGCTGAGCTGGAAGACTTTCAGCTGCTGATCCAGATGTTCTGTGTTGTGAGGATCTGTGAGCTCTGAGCCCTGTGTCCTGTCCTGGTGATACTGGTTCTTCTCATAATGATGGTGATAAATTACAGCTGGTAACAAGTGGAAACACAACCGACACAATGATGTGCTCTGATATCAGTAACACCAAATCCAGAAAAGGTTATTATTTTGTGAAGCTGACATTTTGTAGAGATGGGATTCTCTAGAATGTGAGGCGAGTTCTCTTCTTCTGGCTGGCTCTGCTGTGTGATGATTCCGTTGAAAAAAAGAAAAAATTGATGCTGCTGAGATGAAAATCGACACCTCAGGAAGCTCACAAATATCAAATTATGTTCTCAAATAATTCATTCAGTTAAGTGTTTAAATTCCACCTCTGTAGTTACAGACTATATAGAAGCTAATTTCACAGATTTTCCTAAACAACAGACCTATAAATATATATCTAGATCTCCTTGTTGTTGTACTGTAGATAAAAAAGACATTCACCTAAAAAACAACAACATTCACCTTGAACAGCTGAGAGTCACTGACCAAGGACAGTGAGGGTCACAGTCCTTCAGATCAGCCCTTAGTATTTACCCATACTAGAAAATAACCAAAGAGGCAGCAGTAGAGCAGCAGTTCTTGTGTCATCACTGTGAACCATCACCATCTCTGATTTCTCTGTTAGCTTTGCTGTAGAAGGGATTCACTAAAAAGACTTGTTGACATGAAAAACACTTTCTAACAAGTGTCATGACTTGAATCTTAGAAATGTATCAACTGTTGTGTTCCAAACACTGACTCCATGGACCCAGAGCAGGGTTTGTCTCCAGTTGTCTGTTGTCTCCATGTTTGAACATTAAAATCACCACATTTACATGTGTTTTATTGAGCTTTATTTATTGGGTTGTTTATTGAAGCTGTCCTCAAACAATTCACTTGTTTCAGAGGAAATGCTCCAGGTCTGATTATGTGAACATATAAACCCTGTTACATTGTTGAGCTGCAACACTTTCAGCTGATACTACAGACAGTGAGGATCAGTGAGTCTGCAGCCATGGGTCCTGTTGTGGTGACTGTTGTTCTTCTGGTGGTTGGGATGTTCAGCAAAGAATCTGCTGCCTGTGAGATGGAAACACAAAAGGAGATGGACTGACTCTGACAGTAGGACAGAAATTCTAACAAGTCTGTGTTTTTTGTTTGTTTTCTTAAAGATCACACCTTCTCCTGGGATGCTGACCAGTGTGTTGCCAATCAAGATGGATCATGTGGTTCTGGATGGATCCGTCTGGATGGCAATCGCTGTGTGATGATTTCCCCAAATCCAAAAACGTTTGATGATGCTGAGGTAAAGAAAACACACACACAGTTTTGTTTTTTGTGATTGTAAAATGTTTCAGAAACAAATCTCAGGGTCACAACAATGATGTCCAGAAAATCACTGTAAACTCTTTATCTCTTTCTTTCTTCAGTCTTTTTGCCAGACTGAGGGTGGACACCTGATGGCAGTCAGAGATGTCCCAACCATGGCCTCACTGACATGTGTCTTACATAACAAATTTGGGTCTGTGTTCTCATTCTGGGTTGGAGCTAGAGAATTAAAGGTGAGCAGTGACAACATCAGATGATGTCTCTATAAAATCATCTAAGACTGTCTTCAAAAACAGACAGATCATTTTATGTCTTTATGTCCTAAAAGGTTGTCTTATTGTCAAGGATATTAACAACCAGTGTAAACCACCAGTACAGATTAATGTGTTTATTTTATTCAACTTAATTTTCTGGATGGGTCTCAATCATTTCAGTGGATTGATCAAAGTGGAAATGTGGAACCATCTGAGGACAGTGAGGTGAACTTCAACTGCATGATACTTTGGAGTAAGTTTCTGTTTATACATTAATAAATATAACCCTGACAAACATCTTCTGGTGATAAAATGACCCATTTCTGACCTAAAATCTCATTTAACCAGAGTTAGACAACAGACGTTATCTCTATGTTCTGTTCACTGAAAATTTCATGATGTCATATTGGTGTTGATATTTTTTTTTAATCGTCATAAATGTTTCTAAACATTTTCTAAAAATGAAGTTGTTGAAGTTGTTTTCTAAGTCATATTTAAAATCTCATCTTTCTCTTTCAGTCAGGAGCAAGTGGGATGGACGAGATTCCTGGACCTTTACTGAATTCATGACTGAATCATGTGACAGCTTCATGTTTTTTCTATGTGAGAAGACAGTGTGATGGTCACCAGTTGATGAACCAACCCTGCTCTATTATTACTAGTTTTCCTGCTTTATTGTAACCTTTGCCTGAAGAAGGTCCTATAATTCCTCCAATAAAAGTTGAGCATCAAAATTTCCTTCATCACTTTGCAGATTGTTCTGTCCTCCATTCTTCTAAGTCATTCACCACATTGTCGTCACTAATGTGATACTAAAATAAAACACAGCCTTTCTGACAAAATACCAATTTTCTTACTAACTTTGTTTTAGGATGAACCTTCACTGTTTCAGTGGATTGATGGAAGTGGAGATGTTGACATGCCAGTCATTGACACAGTCAGAATGATTGTGTATCCATGTATATTAAGTTTATAAAAGTTCTTATATAAGTTCATTTGAGGCCAGTAAAATTATAATCTGATTAATCATAGGATAGTTGTGGATTAATCAAAATGAATCAAAAGACAGACAACAGCTGCTAGATGTCTTATGTTTCATAGAGTTGGTGGTCCTATTATCTATTATTATATATCTATCCTATTATGACTAATTTTGACAGTGTGCTGTCTCCTCTTGTTCTATCAGTCTGGGATTTGTTTTCTGAAAAATCTCCCTGAGCTTCCTGACTGTACCATGTGAGGCAGAAACCTACTTTGCATGTGAAAAGTCTGGATGATTATCATTATTCATCCTGTGATTACCAATGACAAAGACTTTGTCTCTCTGTCTTTAAACCACTTGGATTATTGATATTTCAATAATTCTTCTATATTTTTAAATAAACTTGGCAACATAAACATGGCTGCATAAGAATTATTTTTAGTTGGAACCCGTTACAATTTATGAATTTAATTTAAAATACACACCTGCTGACTGAGTAGTAGCTACTGTGTTATACACTACAGTTTGACTCTTACACTATATACTTCAAGGTACAGAATCAATACATGTTATTCTTTTCAAATATTTTTGACAACTTTTTATTCAGATCATGACAGTTATCGCAGCAGATGGGTTTTTTGTTTCTTATAGAAAAATATCCAGAAAAGACTTTTAAACATTAGAATCATTAACAAGAAACAACACAAATGACAGTGAAGAGAACCTAGGCCAGACTAACTTAACAAGGAATCGACCTAGATGCCTAACTACAGTCTAACATTTAGCTTAATTGATAAACATAGAGAATTACAGAAATGCTGTGTTAAAGAATGCCTCATATATGTTTAAGCTATTCGGAAAAACTTGAAAAGTAATTAGTTTATGCTAAACTGTTAGCCGATGTGCTGGAATGACAGCGTTGTCCTGGAAAAACAGTTAATGGCGACATCGTGTGGTTAGAACTTTTTAACACAACTTTTTTTTAAACATTTTTAAACTATCATAAAATACACAGTACACGTGTTAAGCTGCATTTACGGTATAATTACAGAACAACACATGTTATTACACATTGAACATCAACAATGAGTAATTACAGAAAAAATAACTGAGTGTAGAAGTATGTCAAAGATGCTAGTGGCTAAAGGAAATGGGTGTCAATTGACATTAAAATGATGTCAAAATACAGTATAATATTTATAAAATCAATCTTGCTTCCAAGTTATTGCCTGGAGTGTTTAAGTGTAAAAGCCACAGGTGATGTATCTTGTACATAAACACATGGGTTTAAATTCACTACAGGCTAATAGTTTTGGTGTAACTCTGAATGAGACCTTGAAAATACTGCTGTGTGTTTTTCTGAGGCTGAAATATAATTATGTAACATTTAGGAAGGAAATACCACAACAGAAAAAAGTATAGACTGGAGAGCAGTGTCAGAGCGTTTAGAAAGATGATATATTTACCATGGTAGAGCATGTATTCAGTGACAAAGAAGATCCAGCTGAGGATCAGCAGGAGCAGGCAGAAAGTTATGGCTTTGGCCTCGTTGTAATTTTTGGGAAGGTCTTTTCCCATGTAGGAGAAAATGAAGCAAAGAGAACACAGAAATAAAAGTAAAACAACAGACGCAGAGTTCGCATTCGCATTGATATCACAGAGCAGTATGATCCTTTCAGGGTACAGAAGTGTTTCGTTGTAAGGCTTTGGGGGTCCAGTGACGTAGCCGATGACAACCAGAAGTGCCTGAGTGAAAAACGTAGCCGTGATGATCAACCATTGTCCGTGATATTTCACCCACCAGTTGTGGATCTTGGGAAATTTTGCACCTATTTTGAAAATGCAAACAATTTGAAAAGAACGCACGACAAAACACGCGATACAAACGGTGAAGAACAAAATGAAGGGTAAGAACCTCAGTATGCAAAAAAGGGTTGTTGGCTTGTCAAAATAAAAGAACACACTGACACTGCACAGACTGAGGCAGCCCAGGATGAGGAAGCACATCGGTCCTCCAGCAGATCTGACTACAGGGGTGTTGTAGTTGAAGGCAAAGAGAACAGAAATGAAAATGGTGATGGCCACAAAGGCACAAGCCCCAAGCAATAGGGTTATAGCTAAAGTGTCTGTGAATGTAATGTACTCCACACTCCGCTGGTTGCATGATGTACTCGCTTCATTGGACCATTCTGTCTCTGCACAGAAGAAGCATTTAAAGGGATCCTCTGGTGAGAGAGAGAGAGAGAGAGAGAAGTCAAGTTTAGAAAAATGTAGTTCAAAATATACTATAAGTACTCAACTTACATTGGGGTTCAGTACCTAATGGTGACATAACTTGAATTCTCACCATGCTTATATGGAATTAGTCAGAGCAAACAGCAATGAAGGTCACACAGAATGTATGCACTGTTAAGTTCTTTATTGACCTCTACAGATAGTTCTGGCCAAACCATGTTTGTGAACCAAATGTTTGAAAAATATATGGTGTACCACTGGTAAATGTAAACAAAACTGTCTTCCTCATCGGAATGAGGGAACAAGGCTTTCTTAATAAATTCATACATAGGTTGTGTGGTGAGCAAATGGCAAACTGCAGTAGTTCAAGGGTGTTGCAAACTGAGGACCTCCGATCCTCTGCTATCTCAGGCCAGAGGATCTTAGTGTCTTCCTCTTAGGCTAGGTGTTAGGGTCAAAGACAAACAACTTCACGTCCAGTTTGAGGAGATCTTTATAACAGAGATGAGGGCACTCAACAGGCTGGACGGCTGGGATACCTTGTGGAAGGTGTGGAAGACTTACTCTGAAGTCTTCCACACCTCCCCTAGTCTGGCAATACTATTGCCTTAGGTTTATACTCACCTCCCATGAGGTAAACATTAGTAGCCCATCAGCGTCGTCTGATAAACAGGATAGTGAGCATTTTGACTGATCCTATGCGTTCTAAAATGTATAAAAGACCTGATCCTGCCATTTCATGCCAAGGATGTCACATAGAAAGGAAGGAAGGAAAGTGTTCATCTTTTGCTCCTGTTTAGGGTAGAATGACCAAACTGGGACACAAACATGCATTTCAAACCTCAGGGATGGATAACTGTAGCCACTTGATGATGAAAGTTGTGTTTAGCACAGGTTCAAGAAAGTTGTTTTCCCAGAATGTACCCAATGTACACAGATCTATCTTGTTAACTGACAAGACAATGCACATGAACGGATATTAGTCGAGGGAGGTTCAACCTTTTAGGTCAACACTACTATCTTGTTTGGAGCACAAAGAAAGTGCAGTCTGCATTTAAGATCTAGCGCATTGGGACACGGTTACTCAAGTTTAAACTTTCAGGCAGGACAGGTAGTATAATTTTTTGCAGTAGCACTTCAGATAATCAAGGAAGGGCACAAAGTAGGGTGTTGGTGCAAGAACACAATCCTGGGTGACTTCCCAAGTAGTATCGATCCCAGTGAGTTGGACCAACGTCCAATTCATTAAAGCTTTGCAGGATTGTTACTTGAAAGGCAGGCAGGAGTAGAGTACCTCTGTATGATAATATGATCCAAATTGTGCTAGTGTACGAACAAAACATTGACCTCAGTTAACTGACAACTACGGAGAACCTAGGAGACAAAGGTTGGGATTGGCACATGGCTCAAGAACATGTTAACCATTATTGTTCTTCTTGCCATGACAGTGATGGCCAAAGACGCCACCATATTCAGCCGAGGCACTGCCTCGGGGCATAAAAGGCAACTGGTTGCAGTATAGAGCACATCCTAGTATTATGCACGATGAATCAAATAGTGTGTAGGCAGATGTGCATCAGAGCAACCCAAGCAAAATACTGTGATAACATATGAAACCTAACCCCTTGGTTCCCCCAATAAGCTATGTCTTACTCAGAGAACAGTTGGAGCTGTCAGTTGTGAGATCCGTGTCCTCAATACACCCACCAATCTCCTCTGAAGTCTTCCACACCTCCCCTAGTCTGGAAACTACATGTCCAACATCCTTTGTCAAGTATATTCACTATCTTTCCTCAACACATGTCCAAACCATCTCAACCTCACCTCTCTAACTTTATCTCCTATCTGATCCACCTCAACTGTCATCTGCTCATATCTAACCCTGTCCATCCTGGTCACTGCAAGTGAACCGCAACCTCCAGCGTCACTATTCATGCCTGATGAATCGTTGTTACTGATTTATAGTTCAGTTCAGTTCTAATTTAAAATTAGCTGAAATACCTCACCATGAGATCTTAGTGTCTTCCTCTGATGTCTGATGTTTTTTTTGTTTTGTTTTTTTTACCTGTGCTGTTGACATAAGTTCCATGTGGACACATTTCACAGGTGAAGCAGCATTTGTAGTCTTCATACGGCTTTTTTATGTATCCCACCGGACACTCTGGAGAACACACCGAGGAAGGAACCTGAAAACATGTACGTGGAACACTGGCTAAATGTAGTCATAGGCAGTCATTTTATAAACGTGTAGCTATTATAAATCATTGCTATAACATTCTAATAAAATATATCATGGTCAAACTTACCTCACCACCTGTGAACCACTCTATTAATGTGTCATTGATGAAGAAACTGGACAGTGTGTGAAAATGATAATAACCGATCTCCTGGGCATCACCACTCTTGTTCCAGAAAACTATGGAATTGGATCCAAACTTGGGGTCACCGTTTTCATCAAACTGAACGACTTGGTTTAAAAGTGTGAAGTTTGATTTCTTCAGCTCTGCCAGAACCTTTGGTGAACAAAACAAACAAACAAACAACGATTTAAATGGTTTTAGATTGTTTTATTGTGTTACTCTTTAAAGTAGTTTTAAATGTATTATTTTATTTTGTATAGTTCTTTTTATTCCTTTCTAACATTATGTCTCACTCCTGTCATTTCTTCCAGATTCACTCCACCTGTGTGCACAGCCCTCCCCCTCCCCTCCTCCTGTGTTTCCCTCCAAGGAGATTACCTAACCTTCTCCACCTGTGTCTTGTTAACTCCGCCCCTAACTCTATATAAGCTGGACTCCCTCCACAGTTCTCTGCCATTTTGTTTCACTCACCCACTGAACCAGTGTGTTTTCGTGTGCTGCTCTGACCATGTGTTTTTGACTTAGTCTGTTTGCCTGATTCTGAACCTGCAATATTTGTGAATGGAATTTGTCAGTCATTAAGTCTTTCTCTGAAAGTTAGTGTTTGGATTTTGATTGTGTTTTTCTGCTTTCACTGCATGCAGCTCAATCCTAAAGCCAAACCAAACACAGTGAAATAACATAGAAGGAGCACACATTTAAATTTTGACTTAGTGGCATATTGTGATTTGCATTTGATCAGCATCAAAGTTTAAAAAGTCAGACCAAGGAATACAGCTGGTTATAATTTTATGTCAAGTCCTGTAAATAACTGCATTTATCCTTGTGATCCACTGATTTCTTGAGAAACAGAGTCAAACCATTCACAGAATTCCTTAGTAAAACATTAGCTGTATTTTCACAGAATTCCTTAGTAAAACATTAGCCGTACAAAATTAAATATTCTCTGAACGATTGCATCCCAACCCAGTGTTTGAAGAACACTATCAAATATTCTGTGTTTTATCATTTGTAGACTTACCATGTGTGGGTAGACTGCAGTGCTTTTATCACATGTGCCAACTCCACACTGCAGGACACTGTGTAAGGCATGAGCGAGGGCGTATACAGCAGAATATACGGAAAAAGAAAAAGAGGGGTCTGCAGTGGCCACATCTTCTGCACTCAGGTTGCTGCAGTTGCAAACCTGGTTACAAAACTCTTGCTGTTCCTCATCCTCAAACTGATTGTGATGTTTTGCATTATAAACAAAGTCACTGAATCCAGGAATTGTCACTTTTGACTGAGAGATCCCTAGAACTGTTCCAATATTCTTGATTCCTTCCATCCTTGGAAGCTTCCTGTTCAGGGTCCAGCCGTCATCTCCTATCCAGACTTTGTCTTTGATATTCAGGTGAATCGCTGACTCAATGAGAGCTTCAGCATATGCATTAGGGGCAAAAACAATCAGCACATGTATTTTCTGTTCATGGATTTGTTTGAAAAGTTGGGAGAAGTTGGTCTTCTCGTCCAGACCTTTGGTGTAGGCGAGGCAGATGTCCGTTTGTTCAATCATATTAATGAATATTTCCAATCCGTCAATGCCAAAATCATTGTTGCTGTTGAGGAAAGCCACCCAGCGCCACTTGAAGTGTTTGATGATACTAATGATTACCTTTATGACGTGTGCGTTTGGGTTGACTGTGCGTGAAAAGGAAGGATAGACACTTTTTTGGGACAATACAGAGCTTGAAGCTCCATAGCTGACCTGTCAGAAGAATTGACAATGATCAAATAGAATGTGAAGTTGCACATTGTTTAAAAAATGTTTAAAGCATGTCAATATTAATTTCTCTGTCTAAATATATGAAACAAAAGTGCAAACTAACCATAGGCATGAAATCCATCATCAAGAGTGGAGCGACAGTCAGGGTCTGAGTGGAGGAGAAAGCACCGACCACTCCGATCACTTTAGAAGTGTTTTTATGTATGTGTGATTTAACCCTACCATGGACTAAACCCTCAGTTGAGATTAGCTTGTAAATTTCTGGAAAGCTTTGAATGTCTGAGCAGTGGTCGAATAACTCAAAGCCCAGAGACACATTTGGCAGCAGCTTGGTGGAATTATTTATTTCCTCCACGGCAAATCTCATGATTTGGAACATTCGATAATTTGCGAGAAGGAAAGGGTGACTGGGAAGAAAAAACAACAATAACAAAATTCAAGTGCTCACAGATCCTAAATGTTTGAGATTCCGTTTGCTCCGTGCATAGTTATGTATTTGGACTCACCTGGAGCAGTGAATAGCTTCTGGTTTTTTACGGTCAACAGGGCTGGTGACATGATGAATGTTGAAAAGTCCACCCAACAGATAATCTCCATCCCGCTGAAACTGTGAGCTGGAGATGCTGCTGTTGAGAAAAGACCCAAGCACGCAGAGAAGAGCAAGACGATGTTTCATCGCTGTTGCTGACCTTAACAATCTCATTTTATTCTGAAATTAGCTTCTGATCTTATTGAGTTATGGAACACAGGTGATGTCTATGGCCCAGTGAAAATTTCCATGCATGTGGGCTACATGGTAGGAAGGGAATTTTCAAATTAGTATGCAAAGGCGTCTACACTGCTGCTGCACAGGCTCCTTGTGATGAGCACACGTGCGACATTTCCAGGGAAAGTTTGGAAACATTCTGAGAATGTTTTGAATATTAACGTCTGTATTTTGGATGTTACGCCGTCAACCTGTGGTCTTTTGCGGATACATTGCCATTTTTCATAAAACCTTGCCAACTAGTTCACACGGGAAGTAGGCGGTGAGTGGAGTGGAGTGGAGTGGAGTGGAGCGGCAGATGGCATACGTGGAAGATGGCTTTGTTTAAATTTGGGGGTTGTACGATGGATTGTGCTACATTTGCTTTATTTTGCTTGTGATTTTTTTTATTTATGTTTTGCCCTTCATTATGGCTTCATAGCATCAGACTCTCCAGATGGTTTTATGTCCTATTTTATGATGTGTACTGTTTTGGTACAACAAAAATCGAGGTATGTTGGTATGTAAGTCTAGGAACCCCTGTAATCAGGTTTGGGTTTAGAATATAACAGGAGCATTCACCAAAGATTTGGAAAGTTGGGGGGTATTTGCATCAGGGCCAAGTGCAGTAACTGCTCTAAATGAACTTAACCCCCATAGACCATGATTCATGCCACTGTGGGGGACAGAGCCTCAAGGACTCAATAGAAATACACAAACATCAGAAAGGTGTGTGTGATTGACTAACCTGCCTGCAGTCCAGATCCATCATCTGTTGAAAATGTCAAGTACATCATGAAGAGGTAGAAAAGCAAAGTAGGATTTATTGATCAGATACACCTGTGTCTTTTCTCATGAAACTCCTTTATAACAAGGTCATAGCAATCATAATTTTGCTAGATAAATATTTTGTGTGTGAGATGCATTTGTACAAACATAGAAATAATTTGTTTCACAGATGCCTCTGGTCACAAAAGTTGTAGTTAAGACCAGTGGTTCTCAAACTCTTTCTACTCTGTACCACCTGAGAAAACATTGAGCTCTCTGAGTACCACCATGATGATTAACGTTAGAATCCCCTGCTCGTTCCATGTTCAACTTGCAGGTGATCCCATGATTTCGTGCTGCCTGTGCTTACATGAGCAACAGACTTCCATTACAGCAAAAAACAAGTAAATAAATAAAAAGACCAGACATCCTATTTCATAATCTCACAAGTAGCTACACATTTTGTCTAAATGTTGTGTTAATTGTGCATGGTATGTTTCAGATTTATTCAACTAAAAATGGAAATGTGAATATATTAATTGTTTATTCAACTGAAAATGGAAATGTGAATATATTAATTTTCCCCACATACCACTACAGAGCACTCACGTACCACTGGGGGTACACATACCACAGTTTCAGAACCACTGGTTTACAGATTTAAAATGGGGTTGATTTACAGCCACATACCCAGGGTAAACACTTACCTTCGTCAATAAGCTGTGTCTCCACATGATTGTGTGATTATTTATTTACTGCATCTACTGTGGCTGCCGCTCACTCAGAGGCTAACATGTTTGAAATTATACTCAGCATTGACATCATGTCTGACAAAGACTTTTATTTTAATAATGCATTTGATATGAACTGAAACTAATGTATACTTTTCTGTGAAAACACACACAGGTGATTTGTGGTAGAGAGGAGGATTTGCAACTAGGCAGTGGGAGAAAGTAATAAATGAACAGATATCTCAACAGTATTGGCATTGTGCTACCTTACTGAAACCATCATTGGTGTTAATAATGCATTCCATGTGTTGAAATCTTACTAACAAAACAGCCTGGTGGTACAAAAAGGACTTCATGAATTTTTACATAAATGTATGAAAAACTCAAAGTTTCTGTTAGAAATACTATATATATATATATATAATTAAATAGAACTATCATCTTACTACAGTTACAATTTATATACTTAATGTGACATCTGGGCCTGTTTAGTTGAACACAACCCTGATATGCTCACAGGAGATGCATAAAAAGACTTTCAGCAGCTGTGGATTACACTTATTTATTTATTTATTTTTATTTAATTGTTTTGTATTGCTTTTATAGCCATCTCTTGCCACCTAGTGGAAGAATATTTTCTTTTGACAAATAATTTCCAGCAAACCTATTGCCATTGGATACATTTCTATGGTCCACCTGACGAGCTCTCGTGGCACGTTAATGTGCAGTAGCACAGTGGTCGGGAATCTCTTGTGTAATAAATGCATGGATGGATTTAACATAAACAGCCAAAATGATTCTTGGTCTGCTATTGGCTAATAGTTTTGGTGTAACTCTGAATGAGACCTTGAAAATACTGTGGTGTGTTTTTCTGAGGTTGAAAGATAATAATGTAACATTTTGGCAGGAAATACCACATTAGGAAGGAGTAGAGGCTGGAAAGTAGTGCCACAGCATTATGACTAATGATTGAAACACCACGGTAAAGCATGTATTCAGTGAGAAAAAGAACCCACGTGGCGATCAGTAGCATCAGGCAGAAAGTTATGGCTTTGGCCTCGTTGTAATTTTTGGGAAGGTCTTTTCCCATGTAGGAGAAAATGAAGCAAAGAGAACACAGAAATAAAAGAAAAACAAAAGAACCAGAGTATGTTTTCAAATTAATCTCACAGCTAAGTATGATTTTGTCAGGGTACCACTGTGTTTCATTGTACTGTTGTGGGGGATTAAATAAGAAGCCAAATGTGAGCAAAAATCCCTGAATAAAAAATATCACAGTGATGATCAGCCATTGTCCGTGATATTTCGTCCACCAACTCTGGATGTCTGGAAACTTGGCGCTTATTTTGAAAATACAAACAATTTGAAAGGAGCGTACGACAAAGCATGCAATACAGAGGGTGTAGAGCAGAATAAAAGGGAAGTACCTGAGGATACAGAAACTAAACGTAGGTTTGTCAAAATAAAAGAACACGCTGACACTGCACAGACTCAGGCAGCCTAAGATGAGGAAGCACATCGGTCCTCCAGCAGATCTGACCACAGGAGTGTTGTAGTTGATGGTGAAGAGAACAGAAATGAAAGCTGTGATGACCACCAATGCACAGGCCCCGAACATGATCGATATAGCCAGGCCATCTGTGAATGGGATGAACTCTATCGTCCGCAGGTTGCATGACGTACTCCCTTCAACAGACCATTCCATCTTAGAACACGAGATGCAATTGTGAGGATCCTCTGATAAAAAGAAAGTCAGGACATTTAGTAAAACCATGTTGGTTCTATTTTATCTCGACAACGTAGATGTACGTAGAACAACGTACCTGTAGTGTTGATATAACTTCCCTCAGGACAGATCTCACAGGAGAAGCAACACTCATGGATTCCATCCTGATGCTTTGCATATCCTACAGGACATTCTGGAGAACACAGTGAAGTCGGCACCTGTAAAACAAAAGAAACAAAGTATAGGCAAAGTACCGAGATGCAGTACAAAAAAGACACCATTTTACTACTTAATGTTAATAATAATAATGTATCAGAAAAATAACAATGGAAGCACTTCAAATAAATGTACTACTACATTCCTTAAAGCTTTGAATAATCAGTGTTATTACTACATTTTCAAAATGTTTGATTAGTTTTTAGCCTGGAGCAGCAGACGACTGGTGTCTCGTCACCTCTCCATCTGTGTGCCACTCAATGCTGCTGTCGTTGATGAAAGAATGGACAGATGGGTGAAAACTGTAAAAACCGACATCCTGTACGTCACCGCTCTTGTTCCAAAACACTATGGAGTAGGATCCAAACTGAGGGTCACCATCACGGTCAAAGCTAATGCTGTGATTCAGAAGCACAAAGTCTGACTTTTTCAGCTCTGCTAGAACCTGACAGGAGTAAAACAAACGTTCAGATGATTGATTTTTTTCGCAACTGCGTGAAAGAAATAAACCATTTTGTATTATATACCTACCCTGTGTGGGAACACTGTAGTATTGCCACTACATTTTCCAACTCCACATTGCAAGACATTGTGCAAAGCATGAGCGACAGCATACGTGGCAGAATAAACGGCAAAAGAGAAAGACGGGTCCAGAGAATTCAGCTCCTCTGGACTCAGGCTGCTGCAGTTGCAAACCTGGTTACAAAACTTTGTCTCTTCTTCAGTTTCACTGTAAGACTGATATTTGGACGAATAAATAAATTCACTGAAACCAGGTATCGTCATCACTGACTGCGACACCCCGAGAACAGTTCCAATATTTCTGATGTCTTTCATTTTGAGAAGGTTCTCATTCAGGGACCAGGTGTCTCCTGCAATCCACACCTTGTTGGTTACATTTAGCTGAATGGCTGACTGGACGAGAGCCTCAGCTCTTATATCTACAGCAAAAACAATAATGATCTTCACCCCTTGGGCCTCGATATCTTTAAATATCCTTGAGTGTTTTTTCTGACCATTGAGCTTGGTTTTGTAAGCTAAGCAGATGTCGGTGTCCTTGATCCGACTTATAAACAACTCCAGGCCGTTGTTGCCAAAATCGTCATCACTGTTCAGAAAAGCAACCCAGCGCCATTTGAAATGCAGTATGATGCTAACGATCACGTCGATGATGACCTTGTTGGAGTGTACTGTCCGAAGAAAGGAGGGAAATTTCACTTTCTCTGAAAAATCTGAGCTGGCAGCTCCATAACTGACCTGTGAGAAAGTCCAAGAAAGAATATTACTGAAGTCAATGCCAATTAATGAATTAATGACATCTTAAAGGAAAGGTATGGTAACAAAACGTCTGTCCAAATTACCAAAGGGATTAGATCCATCATGAACAGAGGAGCAATGGTCCACGTCTCACTGCTTGAAAAGGGTCCAACCACTGCCATCACTTTGGAGTATTTGGACAGATCTCTCTGTAGCTCTCCCCATGGGAACACTGAACCATTGACTGAGATGAGATCAAGAATCTCTGGGAAGTTCTGGGACACGGTGCAGTGGTCGAATATTTCATATCCAAGTGTCACATTGGGCAGGAGTGTGGTGGAGTTGTTAATTTCCTCTACAGCGAATCTCATCAATTGAAACCTGCGGTAACTTGTTGGGACAAAGGTGTGACTGTGGACAGAGAAGGAGAACCGCTTTGGAACATGTGTGCCTCAAATTGATAAAGGTCTAAATGAAACCTGTATCAACAGCAGCAGATATCCACTCAGATTTATACTGAGACTCACCTGGCACAGTCAATGCCCTCTGGTCTGTCACTCTGAGAAGAAGTGTCGCCGTAGTGAATATCAAAAAGTCCACCTATCAAATAATCTCCCTCCAGGTGAAATTCAGAGGCGAGGACGGTGGACACGGTCACTGCACATAGAAACAAAAAAACACAAAAAGATTTCATGGCTGTCAGTATCACTTTACGATAGAAATGTGATACTGTACCTACAGTACGGCGATTACTCTGTGCTTTTAACAAGCAGTGACAGCCTTGATATACAAAGCCCCAGTCTTCATTTCCATAAAGGTTCTAGTTATGGAAATAGATGCAGGATGATTTATGAATTAATACTTTTCAAAACGCCGCCAAGAGCTTTAGTTATGTGGAACATCTTTAAGAATGATTTTGCATTGTCAGTACATCAGTCAGTGTACGTATAGGACTTCAACATACAGCTGTCAGCACGGCCTATGGTATTTGAATATTCATGAGAGTTTGGTGGGGATTGGTTCATTGTATTACTCTGTGGAGTTTTGCAAGAGCTCACATTCAAAAACAAAAATAAACAAACCTGTATCATCCACAGTAAAGTAGTACAGGGGATAAGATATTTATAGAAAATTATGTCCTCCCAATTATACATGTTCTACACAGGTCAGAAAAATTACAAAAATAAAAGCCCTGGTCTTTTTAGTTAAGTTTAGTCAGAGTGTGCTGAAAGTTTACCTTATGTTTACCTTATTAACTAAGGTTAATTAAAAGTGCATTTGAAGTAGTTTTTGGCCCTGTGTTTTTGAATAAACTGTATTTTGTAAATCAGGCCTTTTTGAGCCGCAGGACATATATTTTACATTCCACAGCGCAGCAGTAAACAAAATACAATGATGATCTGATTTCAGCTGAACACAATGCAACACTTTGTGAATAAGTAGATTACATGAACAACAGCAGTAGCTCCGTGTCACCCTTTAAATTGTTTTGTCCATCTGCTGCCATCTAATGAGAGAATGTTTGCCTGTCACTCTACAGTCATTTATTAAGTTTTCAGACCAATTCAGGGAATTTTTTTTTTACTTCACACCTAATATTTTCTCACCACATTGTTTAAGATTAAGATTATCGCTACATAAGCCACAATATTTTCTCACCACATTGTTTAAGATCAAGATTATCGCTACATAAGCCACACTTTGTAGACAAAAACTGCACAAAAACCTCAACATTTAAAAGAAAGGAAAAATAGTCAATACAAACAAGTGTTGCTCTATTGTCATTCTACTTCTACAACTCATGTACCAGCTATATTCATACAGAAATGACCGTTAAAGAGATGATAATGTGAAGATCAAGATGAGACATCACCTGAGGACACAAGCAAATATATACAAGTAACTCAAATTCAAACAAATATATGAAATCAACCAACAACCTTTGGTCACCAGTGGAGTCCTGGATCCTCTAACAAATGAGTTCTGCACGACTTAACGTCTGACCACAGTTAGTCAGGTGAAAGGATGTGAGCTGCAGCCACACTGCAATGAAAAAAAGATCAGAGGGGTTAGGCCCCGAAAACAAATGTCTATTAATGAGTCTTTAAAAAGAAATAGTAGTTGTCTTTGCCTTTGTGCAGAAAAACGAAAAGCAGATAAAAAATTGCAATGGTCATTTAAAAATGGGTCTAATTTAGCACTACTGCAGTGTTTGTTTTGTTGTTTTTATTGATTAAAATCCAATTTCATTATTGTTTTTCTCAAAGGGCAGTCATGCATTTGTCCTTAGGTAAGTTGGTAACTTAATAATCTACATTATATATTTAATTTGTTATAATTAAATATATAAATGCAACTGTAGATTTCCATACAAAACTCTTCTTATTGTGTTTATTCTTTCATTTCTTCGTGTATTTATAGTTTGTTAGCTGTTGTTTGGTTCTTATTTTTCCAGTTCTTTTCATTTTAGTGCATTGATGGGCTGATGTTGACAAATACTACATTTTATTGATATATATTTATTTATTACCATTATTTATCAACCACTGGCAGGGAGACATACATGTGTCTTACTGTATGTAACAGTTTGGTGACAGCTGTCATGTTGGAGAGGATATGTATAAGGGTGTTTTATTAGTGTTGAAACTCACATTTAAAAAAAACATGACAGGATGTGAATCAGCATTGGACTTCACTGAACTGAGCTAAAAAATTCATTTAAAGGACTGTACAGGACACAGGATTGATTTTATATATATTCTTTATTTAGACTAACATTATTGCAGTGGTTCCCAAAGCACAGGGGCGGCCCCCCTGGGAGGCACAGAGCTAATGCAGGAGGGGCTGGGGCCAAGGCAAATAAACCTGAAACTATGTTGAATTCCTTTTGTTCAATGAGAATGGCAGTTCTGTAACAAATACAGTGTTAAATAGAGTGGAATGGAGTTCTAAAGCAACAGCTGTGAAAGTGTTGATGTGTGTGTAGAGAGAATCAGGAATAATCATATCTACAAAAAGGTGACACTGCATAAAAGTGTGTGTGAACAGCTGCATTATTGAAACAATAGGTTATTGCAATTATAAATAAATGATGTCAAAGACTGGACAGACACCAAGAGAAGAGCTCTTGACTGTAGCCAGCTACTACTGGCTAATTGTTTTTGTATAGGTCTGGATGAGACCTTGGAAATACTGCTGTGTGTTTTTCTGAGGTTGAAAAATTATAATGTAACATTTGGGCAGAAAATACCACATCAGAAAGAAGTAGATACTGAGGAGCACCGACAGAGCGCTGTGGGCTGTGATTACATTGCCATGGTTTAGCAAGTAGTGAGTAGCAAAGAATATCCAGGTGAGGAACAGCAGGACCAGGCAGAACGTTATTGACTTGGCCTCGTTGTAATTTTTTGGAAGGTCTTTTCCCATATAAGAGAAAATAAAAGACAGACAGCACAGGGACCATAGAAAGGCCAAAGAGGCAGCAAGTCCAATTATTTTTACGTCACAAATGAATACAATTTTATCTTTGTACCAAGATGTTTCACCGTGGGCCTTTGGGTTTCCATATAATGTTCCAAAAATAATCAAAATGCACTGAACAACAAATGTCACAGCGATGGTCAGCCATTGTCCGTGATATTTGACCCACCAACAGTGGATCTTGGGAAATTTTGCACCAATTTTGAAAATACAAACAATTTGAAATGAGCGCACACCGAAACATGCGATACTAACAGTGAAAAACAAAATACACGGAAAGAGCCTGAGAATACAGAACAAAGTTGTCGGCTTGCCAAAGTAGAAGAACACGCTGACGCTGCACAGAGCGAGGCAGCCTAAGATGAGGAAGCACATCGGTCCTCCGGCAGATCTGACCACAGGGCTGTTGTAGTTGATGGTGAAGAGAACACACACGGCTATAATGATGGCCACCAAGACACAGGTACCCACTAGGAGCACTATAACTTTAATGTCAGTGAACAGCAGGTACTCCACTGTCCGCAGGCTGCATGATGTACTTCCCTCTGCAGACCATTCTGTTTCTGCGCAGCTAATGCAGTCGGAGGGGTTTTCTGTGAGTTAGAGAAATTGTTGGACAAGAGCAAAAGAATTCCTGTTTAAGAAGATGTATAACAGTTGTGCTTAGCTGGGTTCAATTATTTTAACAATGAGAAAATGTTTTATGTGTATATTTTTTTTATCCTTTGTTTTTCAATAAAATAAAAGGTTTTGGTTAGGGATGTCCGATAATATCAGCCAACCGATTATTTTTTTTATCTGTAAGAATCGTTATTGTTTTTTCCTCCGATAATGAATACCCAATAACGCAATGCCTGGGTTTTGTCAAATGATGTTTGCACTAAAAATACTTTGGGGGATAAATGGCTGTACGTGAAAGTCACTAGATGGCAGCATTGCAGCTCATTTTTATCTGTTGTTATCGGAATTGTAAATTAAGTGTTTGGACAATATTGTCATATTGGATATTGACAAAAGGTTAGTATTGGTATAATATGTCATATTGGATATTGACAAAAGGTTAGAATTGGTATAATAGTATTATTATCAAACCTACCTGTGCTGTTAATATAAGTTCCTTTTGGACATATTAGACATTTGAAACAACATTGCTGGATTTTGTCTGACTGTTTTGCATACCCTGCAGGGCATTCTGGGGAACACACTGAAACTGGAATCTGAGTAAAAACAGGAAACAGAAAGAGATTAAAAATCACAGTCTTAACCAAAATGCTGTAGCTTTAATAACAAAAAATATACTTCTCCATTTCCATGCCACTGGATCTTTGAGCTATTAATGAAGAATTTAAAAGACGGTGGGAAATTATAGAATCCAATATCTTGGGCAAAACCACTGTGGTTCCAAAAAACTACAGAAAAGGATCCAAACGTGGGGTCGCCATTTTCATCAAACAGAATTCTCTCATTCAACAGAGTGAAATTTGATTTCTTCATTTCTGCTAAAACCTGGTGAAAAAAAGAATCAGAAAAGTTGCATTTCAAGTGTTGCTTAAATATTTTCACTGGAATTGATGCTTAAATAAATGTTTTGTTTTTTTATTTCCTTTTCCTTCTTCTGTTTCCATAACATTGTGAGATAAGGCCGTGTCTCACATTCTACCTACCATGTGTGGGTACACTCTCATGTTGTCCGTACATGTACCCTCTCCACACTGTAAGACATTGTGTAAGGCGTGTGCAATAGCATACACAGCAGAATACACAGGGAAGGAGAAGGACGGGTCTGCAGCCATGATGTTCTCTGCACTCAGGTCTGTGCAGTCAAAAGCCTGATTGCATAAATTCTGCTGTTCATTGGTTTTATTGTTTGTTTGGCTTCTAGAAGAATCTAGAAATTTCCAAAACCCAGGTATTTGCCTGCGTGGCTCGGCGACTCCAAGAACAGTCCCGATATTTCTGATCCCTGTTTGCTGGGGCAGTTTCTTGTTCAGTGCCCATGCGTCTCCTGCGATCCACACTTTGTTGCTGAAGTTCAGATTTATTGCTGACTTTATGAGAGCTTCTGCCGTCCATTCAGGAGCAAAAACAATAATGACCTGCACTTTCTGAATATTAATCTGTCGGAAAACCTGCTGGTAATTTGTATCATAGTCGAGGCCTCTTGTGTAGGCCAGGCAGATTTCTGTTTCTTTTATCCTATTTATGAAAGTCTCCTGGCCGTCTCTGCCGTAGTCATTGTTTACATAGAGAAAAGAAACCCAGCGCCAGTCAAAGTGCAGTAAGATGTTGAGGATGACTTCTATGACATCCTTATTGGGATGTACCGTTCGGAAAAAAGAGGGAAAATTTTTCTTTTTTATTGAAAAGATGGAGGTAGCAGCTCCATAACTAACCTGTGGAATGAACAATAAACTGATTATCAACACAGATGATGTCATTTTTAAATATCCGCTGTAGTGCACAATTGGCAAAGTGGCAAATTTACCATAGGAATCAAGTCCATCATGAATACTGGGGCGACAGTCAATGTCTCAGTACTGGTGTACGTGCCAACAATGGCAATAACTTTCGACAGATTCTTGTTTGCCTTGCCCAGAGGTCTGACTGTGCCATTGACTGAGATGAGACTAAAAATGCCTGCGAAGGTGTGAACATCTGAACAGTGGTCAAATATGTCATAACCAAGTGAGACATTGGGCAGAAGGTCAGTGGAGTTGTTGATTTGCTCCACGGAAAATCTCATCAACTGAAACCTTCGATAACTGGACAAAATTAGCGGTTGGCTGAGGACAGAGGAAGAGACAAAGGTGCAAGTGTTTGAGTCACGTGGCTCAGGAATGCAACAGCAAGTCGTACTTTACATATGGTGCAAATAAACCGTTTTATTTTTTGAAGTTTCTGTGAAATGTCGATACAAGATCTGTGCAGGCTTTTGTAAGACTCACCTGGAACAACGAATGGTTTCTGGTCTGCCATGATCCACGGGGCCACTGACATGGTGAATATCAAAAAGTCCACCAATCAAATAATCTCCATCTAGCTGAAACTCTGAGCCGGAGACTGGCGCCAGTGAAGTCAGTATAAGAACTCCAATCACACGGAGAGAATCAGAACAAGACATCATGGCTGAAGTTCTCATTTATTAACCTACTGTAAATCTAAACCTTTCATACACTTGTTCAGACGATGCTGACACTCAACCCTTCGTGATCATTTCCATATACTTTGGAAAAAAAGTGTTAACAAATCAGTATGCAAAAAAATTAAATGATCTGAACTGATCCACATACTCTACAGCAGCATGTTTATTTCCTGTCGACAATAGCCTTGCCATCTATGGAAACAATGACAACCAGCCAAACAACTGAATTTTAACATTAATCATGTATAATTATAATAGTATGCAACTTGTTTAAAATTTAGTAACTTTTTTTAAATGTATTTATTTATTGTCTATTTGTGGTTTAAATTGTGTTTAACTTTTTGGACAAAACTTTTTGTTAATATGATACCTTAATTAAGCCAACTTTGAGCTAAGTTGTTGCTATATTATGACTAGGTTAGCGCCTGTTAGCATTGTTTTCTCTTTTTTAGCATTTTTTAGAAGCCACATTTCTATCTTTTTTCTTCTCAAACTGTAGTTTTTTTAAAAATAATACAAAATTAGTGACTGGATTGTATTTGGAAATATTATAAATACAGCTTTTTGGGAATAAAAGAGCAATAAAGACAACAATGTACTGATAGAAGGGACAGCCTCTTTAATAGCATTTGGAGTGATAAAAATTACACAGCTATTAAAATCTTTTTTTTTTTTAAATAACTGTATCACAAGAAAACAAGAACATGCAATTCATGGTAAACATGTTTAATTTAATTAAATTTAGACCCAATAAACCAGTCCTAGTTTTGTCAAATTCGGGTGAAACAAATACAAATTAAACATCAGAAAAGAGTATGGTGATTAAAAGAAAGAAAAAAAAAAATCATACTTTAAAATATATTTATATATTTACACACATCTTCCAGACAATCCTTTGAAACTAACTTTTTACAGGAAAAGCTTGAGATCTGTTTACTACAGTGTTGATCAAATGTAACATGACATGATAAATCCCCAACATTTTGATAAAACAACAACTGATTTACAGAGAGGAAAAGTGTGATCGCCCTCGACTTCATCCATTTGTATTTTATAAATGTTCTCTTTTCCTATGTCTCCTCTGCAAAAGAAAGAGAACAACAGTTTGCTTGGAATGACTTTGTTGTTTTTTTCTACTAAACTTTTTTTCAGAAACAATCACAGATTATCAGCGGTTACTGCAACAACTTTAACACAAACTCAATGGACCTTACTCTTTGAAACAAGACAGTTTCAAAGTGAAAAGGTCCCTGTGGTAAAATGGAGTCTGATTTTATATTAAACAGGATTCTACTGTGTCGTAACTTAAAATGAAAAACTGTCATTAAAGCAGTGAATAAACTAGAGGGAACTAAAGGGGAGAGACGACACACTCAGAAGACAAGGTTGAAAATAATAACAAACGAGAGATTTGTGTCACTGCCACTTTATCAACGTTACAAAAAATATGCATTTGTGGTGGATGCTAGTTAGAGATTTTAAATAATCCGCGGTATGAAAAAATAATGAGTTTATTATTAACACGCCAATATGCATACGCACATTCCGAATCTCTGCATTTGTACAGAGGACAAAACACAAAAACAGACACACTTTAAAGTCAGATCCGCTTCACACTCGGACTTCAAGATTGGTGCATATCCTTCACGTTTCATTCCAAACAATTTTTTTTCTATAATAACACTACTGACTCTCCACAGAACTTGTTACAAATAAACAGTACTTGGCAATGTTATTTTAACTGGATTCGCCCTAATAGTGAATTTATTAACAGAACATTTTTAAAAAGCCTTATTTTTTTTTAATTATTGGTGACGTCATACTTACCCCGCGGGGTGAAAAATTGTAAAAAAAAAAAAAAGGCAACACTGAATCTCATCCTTCTACTACTGTATGACAAATGCTAACAAACCCTATCAATGAGAACCAGGCAGGTCCTTCAAAAAAAGGCTAAGGCCTAGACTGAGGTGATCCAGACTGGTAATATCTTCATCCAGCATCGTGAACAATAGATCATGTGGGGTTTGATTATTTGTCATGTAACTGTTCAACTTACAAAAAAAGAAGGAAAATCTCTAACTCTTATTACTTCCCAACAGCCATGACTGTCAGATTTGAAAAGATGAAAGTAGAGTGGTGGGGGAGGGGGCTAAGAGGGATTTTTAACTAGCAAAGGTTTTCCCTGTTTCTTCCTTGCCTTTGTACGTTCTCTTCCCATGTGTGAAGGGTATGTATCTGTACTTGATCATATGCTGAAGAGAAAGACAAAAAGAAGAGAGTTAGCATTGAGGCATCAAACTACAAAGATGGTACAAATTTGTACAAAATGAGCATCAGATAATATGCCCTGAGGCTCACCTTGATCTGCCTTTTCATGGTGATGCAGAAGAGCATGATGAAGTACATTACAAGTATAGGCCAGAAGACTGGCACGTTAAAGGCTTCAAAGAATGTGCAAATCATGGCGATGACGATGCCTTTCGTTGCAGAATGCCTGCAGAGAAATACAATCTGGGTTACATCGGTGACAGAAAGTGAAAATCAAAAACATACTGTATATATTTAACAAATGTGTTGTATGGGTGGTGGTGCATTAAGGAGTGGGTGCTGCTCAATATCCATAGAGGAAACTGTGGAAAGAGATGAGATTGTGTGTGGGAAAGTGAGCATTTTTGTCATCAAGACCAAAACACTGTGTTCAAAGACCAACATTTTTTGTGAATGTGTGCTGTAATCATTGAGACATTAAAAAAAACAACAACATAATATTAAGTTAGAAAAAAACTCTTATGCAGCAGTGAACCAATAAAAAATACATACTGCATACATGCTAACCGCTACACCATGGAACTACATGCACAAGTTAAAGTAGAGTGAGAAATGACTGATGCAAAACATGCCTTGTTCTCTTCCTGCACAAGTGCACATGAGGAGGCAGAGTTTGCATTAACACAACACACTTTAAATAATGTGGTTTTAACTTTATCTAAATAGTTTGATGGCTCATACTGCTGAAATTACCTGCTGGTAAAGAAAATACATAAACATATTAACTCAGAACTCTATTCATTTATTCTGAAATGTTAAAGACTTCACCTTAAACAACAAAGGCATTTGTTTAAGAATATCATCTACATGTCTCTGTACTTGACTCTCACCAGAACTTAAATTCAGGCAACCTCCTGATGAAGGGGCGGAACTCCTCATTCTGCTTGGTAGGAAGGGATGGGCCTTCATCTGCACAAGACCCAGTCAATTCATTATTCATGTTAACTCAGGTAGATCACAACGATGGAACGACTACATAATTACACCACAGAGGTCAAACATGATGTGAGCGAGTCCACTTGCCTTCATCAAGCAGTGAAGGATCCACTTTCGGTGATAGAAAAGCAATGAAGAGGTTAAGGTGGTAGATACCCAAGGCATATGTGACTATATACCAGCCCTGAAAAATAGCATCAAAACATAATTACCTTAAAACAGCCACATATTAACATTTTCATTTCAAGATCTGAAGCTTAAAAGGATTTGATAAACAGCCACTATATTATGTTGTCCTTCACATGCATTGTTACACAGTATGACTGACTCACTTAAAATAACACTGATTATTTTATCTGGTTTTAGCGCAGAGATTAAGTATTACGTGACTCTGAGGGGTCATGTGACCAAATGCTCCTAGTCTCAGCGCAAAGAGTCAATTTCTCACTTTTTAAAGAAATGTATTGAAATTAAAGTTTAGTACAACCTAATGAAAACAACATACTTGTGAACAAGAAGAGCTCTGACTCGAAGCAAATATGAGTTTCACAGATATTAATTACATCAGTTTAGGTAAATCCATAACATACTTACCTGTAGTAGGTAGACTCTGATCATGTAGACTGCAGTAAGTAGTAGAGTTGCCACCCATCGCATTGCATAATATGGCGTCGACTTGTCCAGCCATGACTGATAGATCTAATTAAATACAGTTGTTTTTTTCAAAGTAATATAGGCAAGTCCCCCCATTTCTGCTTTAAAACAATCTGTCAGTAAAACCCGGACTAATGTCTAAAATTCAAACATTCTAAATACTATTCACATTGTGTTAACTTGCTGTTATGTAAAATCACTAAACACAAAAGTTTTGTTTTTTTAGTTATTTACAATTGACAAAATATTTGAATAAATCAATTTGTGTATCATCCTTAAAGGGTCTTCATGTAAAATACACATATTAGTGATTGAAATACAAATTAATGTGCATAATCAGAGTGAGGAGTTACCTGTCCAGTCCTTGTGAAGAAGGCAGCAACAACAGATGACTTCCCATGGATCGAGTCCCCAACACTGTCCCCTTCTGACATTCTAGCAGATATGTAAATATAATGTTTGTCTTAGTAAAACATATTAGGAAAAGGTGACTAAACTAGTTGGACTGAAGAAGTCTGTTTAAGCTGCAGGGCAGTATTTTCCTAACTATGATGCCCTGGATTTTCTTGTTTTTAAGAGAACAAGATAAAAGTTTGTACTACCCAAGAGAAGGTTGAGTAGTGAACGCCTAAAATTTCATTGTCTCATCTACAAGTGATCATCAGATTAACTACAAATCATTCTGGTAATTGTCCTGTTAAGCATAGACAACATTTTTAATCATCATTTAAAAACAAAAATTGATACGTAATGGTCAACTTGGGGTCACACAAGGCAATAATGACTTTTGTTTCAAAATGCTTTAGACCAGAGAACAGACAACAAGATCAAGACCAAGATGACAGATAGATATGAGAGGAAACTGAGTAAACACAGTTTGGTCTATTAAAATATACAATAAAGATACTGGTGCAACACCAGTATCTTTATTGTATATTGTAAATTCTGGTTATTCAAAGACACGACTGAATTACAGATCCATTCAAATCACGAGTGCATCTGAGATTCATGTACTCTTACCAACCGTTACAGTAATGTAAAATAATTTTGTCATATGTCATTAAAAAATCGCCTGGTTTATGACCCTATATAATATTTTTTATAAACCACCATTAGTTTGAAAGGAAAGACCGTGTGGAAATGGAAGCTTGCTAACGTTAGCACCATAGCTCGTTCAGAAGCACTTGAAATGAGAAAGTGTTTATACCGTCCTGTTAAATATAGAAAAAAAATAAATGCGGGTATATATTGAAAGAAACAATATTATACACAGCATTTTTTCGCTTCGCTTGTGAAATTATTTCAGAGATACTCACGTTAGCTAACAAATTAGCTTTGAATATAGCTCACAGGCTAACTAACTGTACATTGCCCTTTTGCCTAAATAGCAGCTTTTATGGGTTATGTAGTTTGAATAGCGATACGTGCAGTACTGAAATGCACGGAAAAGACTACATTTTCCACAAGCCAACTCCTGTGACCGTAAAAACGTCTCTAAAAACAAAATGTAGTTCACCGCTCGTTTTCTTAGCATTAAAAATAACCTACTTCCGGCGTGAGCTGAACTACAAAGACCAGCGATGACTTTGAGAATCTGACAACTCACTTCCGGAGTACGAGAGAATTTCGCCGTTTGACTCGAGCGTAAATTCTGTTCTTTGTAAAGATGTGTTCACGGTTTGTTAAAGCATAGCAAATTCTAACGCCCTTCGTTTATCTGTTTCTGTTTCTAAAAGCTGTGATAAGAATAAATGAGAATTCTCTCTTACCTGATACGGCCACTGTCGCTACTAACCGGCACTATCTACAAGGAGCCACCTCCGGAGCAAACTGATGTGTACACGTCAGTACTTCCGCAATGTGTCAGATAAACGCCAGACCATAAGAATGATCCTCGAGGTAATCGAACAGCTGATACTGCTACAGGAACCACACAGTACTGTTATAAATGAGCCACAGCTGTGTACTCACTACAGACACAGCCCTAAAACTAAAACGTAGTGTTGTACGAGTTTTGTAAACTATCTAATTATTTATAATAATAGACAGTAAAATTCAATTTTTGAGTTATCATCTAATTTGACTTTAGGCCTTGAAATGGTAACAGTAAGCATGCCTCTCTTTCTCTTTGTATGACAGTGCCAAGAAGACTTGTTTGAGGAATCGTATAAAACTCACATTGTCTTGAACTTTTTTCTTTACTTTAATTAAGAGACATTAAAGAAAGGTACATTTTGACATTGAAGAACAATAGTTACACACTTATTTATATAAAAGATCACCTGGAATATCAAAACAAAGTACAAGCAATATTTACATAAGGATAATGTATAATACTGATCATAAGCACAAAATGATCCTAAATAATTTTAAAACATTAAAGTGCTCTATTTCTGACCAGTTGTTGGTAAGTGGGTCTGTCAACTATAGAAGGTCACTGCTACAAAGTCAGGTACATACTACACACAAATTTAAAACCATCCTCGGTTTGCAACATGTTTAAATATATTCACTGGCAATCTAAGAATAAAATTGGAATGTCGCAATTAAATGTCCACAATGACCTGTCATGAAGCACACGTGGTACGACACTATTTATCATCAATAAAAAATCCTGTCTTGCAAGGTTTTTGAAATACACAGAGATGCTACTTTTCTAGTGTCTTGTTTTGCAGGTTTCTCTTTTTTTGATTCATTATTCACAAATCAGATTAAATCCCTGTAATTAAGACATAATACTGTTTATATACGTGGCATATACGTAAAATAATGGATATAATGACATTACATGTTGTTTCATTTTTAAACAGGCAACATGTTGAACGGCATTTGGCATACGCCAAACGATAGTTTACATAACAGTATCTTGACCAGTAAGTGTAATCATAAGCATGTGAATGTTCAAGCGTAAATATTGGGCTTCTGTGTACATGGGGGAATTACCTACGTCTGGCAATTTGCATTGGTTTTCATGAAACATACATTTGCAAGAGTTCCATTCACCGATATGTTTTTTATAACAGTTTCAACATTAACCTGTTTGAAAGAGTTGATACATTTGTATTAATGTTAACATATATTTTTCACCAAATGTAGATTGGAACATTTACATGTTGCAGTACAGTATATACATTTGCACAAGAACTTTATGATAATAAAAACAATAAATAGGTCAGCTGAGAACTTGATATATACATTTTTGCGGTTGTCATGTTGCTACACTTGACCTTAAATGTATGTGGATGACAAAAAAGTACAGTCTGCTATTGCACAGGTAGGACCAGAAAACATCTGGATACCCAGATACGTTAATCTTTCTTTTTTTGTACAACACATTTTTGTGTTTTAAAATACAGTCCAACAGTGTTTTCTGTTCATCGATATCTCCTTAACAACTGCATTGTCACAGTGGTGTTTGATGTGTAGACATAACATGTCCTTGCTTCTATCATTTGTTTGGTCTTCTGGATGGAGCATTTGCTTAAGCACAAAGTACCAGCACAAGGAAGTGTTAGAATACACTAAACATACAGACCACATACAAAAAAAATGGATTATCTGCATAAACACCAAATGAAATACAGCAGCAACATACGACTGGATATAAAAAGTTTCTTTCCACTTTTTTTACTCCAATAATTGGCTGATTATAAAACAAAATGGTACCAGAGCAGTTGTCCTCAGGCTCAGTGAACCTCACTTTCCATGAACTCCTCCTTGATCGAGTGCTTGTTACGTGACATTTTGCAATCGGGCATGTCAAAACCAAAGTCGGCCCACTCATCTGCAGCCGAGGCCATCCCTGATGCTCCCACCACACCTGCTCTGTTGGGAATGGTGATGGTGTGGCGGACACGAAAGTGCACCGCCTCCATTACACGTTGACGCTGCAGTTCCCCACCCGCAGCTCCAATAGCTGCCATGGCTGAGGCAGCCATGTTGCTGCTGGAGCGAAGCAGTGGTTGGCTGTTGTAGTCATGGTGATGAGTTGAAGTTGGGAGTTGAATTGGAACACCTTGTTTCATGTCCTGCAGACCTCGCCAGATGACAAGACGGGACTGCTCTGGAATCTTCAGAGCGCCTAAATCCTGAGCAGGGCCGGAACAGATGAAGTGTGAGGAAATTTTCAAAGTAAACACACTCTAGTAAACAGTAAAGTAGACCAACAGTAGCTTTGCTAATAGCAAAATAACCATGTAATCAAACAAAACTTCTCATATACTTGTACTTGTATTTGATTGTTTTGGTAACAAGAATTCCAAATGATTATTATGCCATTGTTCCCTTCACTATTCAGTTAAGTTTTAATTAATTCTATAGTGTAAGGTGTGAGGTTGAGGGTGGTTACCTCCATGGAGAGAGTCTGAAGGTGGTAGATAGACTGAAGGCCCTGTGAGGTGAAGTACTCAATGAAGTTCTGACAGCCCAGACTGGTAAGAAAACTGTAAGAGGGAGAAAAGCAGCACTGCTTAGACTGTCCTTAAGTCACAGCTACAGAGTTAAACCTGATTTGTGTATATATTTCTAAAGTCATTTCGTCAACTGTCATCAAATGTGCATTTTTAAAACTTCTTTCACTCATTTGTTTCTCTGCCTAATGTTTATTTTTACACCCATGTAAATGGTAATATTTTAAATGCTGTTATGTCATGGCGAGTCTTCTGCTTCTTTTTGTGTTAATGGTGTATGTGGCTGCTTGCATTAAATTTATGATCTGCACCAAAACTTATTCTGACAGATTTACGTAAAAACAAACATGTATTGTAATTAATGATTCATTAGGCCATCGTTGCTTTGGGGAAAAAGCTTTATTATAAATACAGGAATTGTTTGACTTTTTTGGCAAAACATACAGTGTAAATGGATGCTAACTGTACAAATGAACTACAAAATATAATAAATGAATAACAAAAGGAAGCGCGCTGCTGTAAAAAGCGTTAACAACTGCACGAACACAATATTTAGACAGGTAGAAAATACAACACTTAAAAAAAGTAGAAATTTCAGTGAAGTGCATTTCAAAGGTTTATGTACAGTAGGCTGTAATAAACCACAACAGTGTGAATGTTTATAGATGCTGACGACACACACTTCTACCTATAAGATGACTTTAACTTCTTTGGCTCGGTTGAATGAGTCAGTAAATAAAATCAACACATGCTTTAGAAAAGCAGGTCAAACGTTGATGATGTCACAGACACCCAGGGTTTGGGTTCAATAAATTTTGTTCCAGAAAAATCTGAAACAGTGAATTGTGTTTTAGGTAGTAGTGGTGTTTTTGAAGTCAGCACTAATTTTAATTGGTTCTTCCATCCATCCATCCATTTTAAGTGCCCAGTCCCCTTTCAATAAATTTGTATTTGTCACCTAAACTCTTTTCATCAGAACATCTTGATTCCACCTCAGTTTCAGTAACTTAGCAAGACTCTAAATATGAAAAACAACTACCCTGTCAGATAACTGTTGACAATAGAACAATCAGGAACAAAGAAAGAGCTTTTAGGTCAATAAAAGCTAAAATATCAATTATGAAGCTCGGGCTAAAGCATGGATTGATTAAACTTCCCTTCTGCACAATTTATGTGCATATAGCTGCGTTACTAAAATAAACATCCATATCATGGAGCAACTGGGTTAGTGGAGCTTCATAACTGCACAAGCCCAACTGTTCTTATTATACACTTACAGCTGAAAACAGAATGTTTAAACATGATCACATAAAAACACCGACATGGTCTTTACTCTGCAAATAAAGTAAAAGTGTCATTGGAGAGTGAGGTACCTGACGAGGCTGGGGTCAGGGTTATATGGAGGCGGTGGGCTGCAGTGGGAGGCAGACACTATGGTCTGACTGCTGTGGCCACCGTTCATGTCACCGTTGGCCTGCATGTGGTGGCTGTTGAGCATGTTGGATCCTGTAAGATAGAACCGGTGGGGGGAGGGGGGAGGGGGGAGTTCAATAAACAACCAGCCCCAGCTTTCATATACCATATAAGAATGTAAACCGGAGGTACTCACCCATATGACCCACAGAGGTGGGGGCAGTGTGGTGTTGCTGGAGCTGCTGCCCCACCAGCTGGTTAGCTGAGGGAGCTTTGCCCAGTCCGCCGTGTGTGTGAAGTTTGTTCATGTTGGACAGTGGAGAGTAAGA